AAATTGGAATTTTTTATCATTTAAATAAAAATTAGATTTTTTATTTACATGTGATTTTTTAAAAATCATTGATTTCTATACACCCTGATTACAGTCCACCTCTTTAGACTTAGCAAGACAATGCATTCAAGCTATGGGCTTGAACACTTTGGCCTGAAGGTGTAGTTTCTATACCAAACATTAGGTATTTTCATTTACACAGAAAGATGATTTACTGATCATCATGAGTTCAGTCTTTATTTTATTTTAGTAAATACATACACCTGAGGCTGTATGACACAAGAAAATATGACGAGAAATCTGAAGAAAAATTTAAAAACCAAATAGCAAAAAGGACAATGAAACTTAACACAATGGAAAATCAGAACCATGAATCTACTGCAGAGTCCAAAGGAAAAGAATGGTTTGCTGTGCAGAGGACAGACGAACAGGATGCGGATTCTTCCACTTCTTTTCTCTGTATCTTCTCTCACTCTCACACACTTCTTTCACTTTCTTTATTTCATGTTTCTCTGTAAAAACTGTTTGACTTCAGTTCCAATGAATCACAACCAGGATCCAAAATAGTTAAGAGATTACTGAGTTGCGATCCAACATCTAGGAATGTTTCCCATCTTCCAAATTTCTTCTTCATCAGAAACAGCCTTATGGTTAACTTTCACCCTCTACAAGAGAAGGTATTTTGACAACCAAATGAATTTTATGGCTAAGTCATAACATGGCTTTAGGTAGGCATGCTCAAAATCAGCAGTATAACCACTGCACCACATTAGTTAGTGGTGTGGTCATATTCTTACATGATACCCCAGTTGTAGGTACTGCCTGTTCTTCACTAGGAAGCAAATGAAAAAGCCATGAAAGGAAATTACACTTCTTTCAACAATGCTGGGGTTAGGGGCACAGGATCCCCATACAGTTCAAAATTGGTGCATAACTCTTATGCCCACAAAAACGTAACTACTAAGCATAAACAACAGAGCACAGAGTTCCGACTCCAGTCCTCCGAAGATGCCGGCCACAGAGACTGGCAAAACGTTAGGAAGAACAACCTTCAGAACACAGCCAAAGAGCCCGAAAAACCCCAACAACCATCAGATCCCGGCCATGAAAGCCTTCGAAAATACATTATATATACAGAACTCCCGCCTCCGAAGATGCCGGCCACAGAGACTGGCAAAACGTTAGGAAGAACAACCTTCAGAACACAGCCAAAGAGCCCGAAAAACCCCAACAACCATCAGATCCCGGCCATGAAAGCCTTCGAAAATACATTATATATACAGAACTCCCGCAAACCAGGTCAGCCTCATGGCATACACCAACACCCTCCCCAGCTGCCACATGGAACTGCCATGCGAGAGAAGGGGCTGGCTGGTCCACCACTTTTGCATCAGAAGCCACTGCACCAACAAAAACAGGGGCCTGAGTAAGTCCAAGACCCACCTTTTTCAGATCATGTCCTAGAGACAATTAGCAATACAGTTTTCATTGAATATTTATTCCTTTTTAAAAAATATGTATGTATATATGCATGCACATATTTATTTATTTTTTTAAAAATCCGCATAACTAAAAATGTGCTACTCAAGACCTTTGCCATTCAAGGGAGTCGTGTACAGTACTGGCTTTTGAGAGGGCATTATCACACTCCATTGATGCACCTTTATATTGCCACAGAGAACAAATCTGTACACTATATGCAAGGTCCTACACAAAGATTCATAGTTCAGGGGATTTCCCACAATCAAATGCAACACAATTATCCATCAATTATTGTTGCTTTTTGGATTTGTTCAAAGAAGTAGGCTTATTTCTGTGAATGCATCTTTTTTCTTTAAATTTTTACCCTGTCCACCATTCTCAAAATGACAATACAATAATTGTATTCAGAATTCTAAAAACAACAAAAAGTAGACGTAATTTGTTACAATGAACTAAAACACAACATTTGCAGAAGTTGTCTCCCTACGACTGGTCAACAAAAGAAAATTATAAAAGCAACATCTTTGACTGGACACATCATTCCACAAAATGATATGAGTGTAAAGGGGAGAACAGGAAGAGTGGAAATACAAAGAACTGTATGCTTATTAAAAGGAAACTGTGCTAAAGAATGTGTCATGAATACTTGGATTCCTTAAGATACACATTCATTGTAACAACTGTTCCACTGCAGCCAAGTTCCATACAGTAGTTTTTCTTTATGTTATTTGATAAAAGGTTTCTACCAGTATTTCATTGCAATCCCTTTTCTAACCTTCCAGCTAAATTTTGGAATAGTAGGGTCTAATAAAGCTCCCTCTCAAAAATGCTACAGGATACCTTATGACTCCTTGGCTAAAATCCTGTTGCTTTCTTACGCATGTAGATCAAAGGGTATAATTTTCAGTTACTGCTCCTCTATCCCACTGCCACTCATTAATTACCAAAGAAAAGCAACTAAATATTATGGCATTGCCTTCTATATGCGTAACAAAGCAAGAATTTCAACCTTTCTTGTTTGTTTTTAAAATGTCCTTAAAGCATGGATAAAACCTTTCCTAGCAATCCCAACTACCTAGTCTGTACTATTCCAGTCTTCTTCACAATACTAATAAAATCATGTAATCTTTCATGATATAGAGAAAATAATTCCTCCTAATATTTTGAATTATTTAAAAACACATATTTTTATATAATCAGTACTTCACTATTTCTTGATCCAAAAGCCAGTTTGCCTTCTGTCATGAGGGCAGGTATTGAACATGGGACTGGACCTGATGGCCTTATAAGCCCCTTCTACCGCAATTATTGTATGAATCTATAATCTTCCTCTTCAGGCAGGCTTTATGCAGTAAGTCTCTCAGGTATGCTTGTTTACGTACAGATTTTTGAATATTTTCAAATCACTTTTAATCATGGTTTTTAATCTTAATATATATTTAATTGCTTTTATATGGTATCTGTATGGTATTTTAATATAAATCAATAAACATTTCTTGTTTTAGAACCAATTGAATAAGTAAACAAGCAATCATTATTGGTTACAAACCCAAAGAATAAAATGTAATATATCAGTAGCAAATAATGAAGCTGTAGTTCTGCCAAAGTCTCTGGAAAGGCAGAAAGCCAATGACGGAACTTTGAAGGTTAACAATGCAAGCAACTGGCAAGAAACAATAGTCTATATCCAACTCAGTCAATTCTAATACAGTACAAGGAATCGTAACATATTCCAACAGAAAGATGGTTAGTTCTCACTTAACCACAGTGATCCCACCCACCAGAAGAAAAATACTGCACTTCCTACACAGTCACACAGTGTGGCAAATAGGAGTAGTTATGGAAGAGCCAAAAGAAAATATTTGCCACCCAGTCACCGTGAATTAGAGCCCTAGAAAGCTGCACCTACTGGGCAAGAGAAGAACAAACTCATCACCCACGCAGTTGCATCAGCCATGGAAAAGGCAGCTCTCTGGTGGGTACCAAATGAATAAAGAATGGGATTTCTCACTGGTATTTTCGCTCAAAAGCCCATACCCTGTAAACATACCAGTTTTCAGCATCTCTGAAGAGTTTCAAAGCTAATATATCTTTAAGCATTCATCGCAGCATTTATAGGCAGGGGATACTAAAATACATCTTCCTTTCCTCATCACTACAAGTTACAACTCACTAAAGAGAAGAACTCAGCAAACAATGAAAATATTTTACCAGAATTCTCCCAATGCTTGGAGCATGATGATGAAACTAGCTGAAGCATTTTAAAGGAAGTCCACAGTTAGAGAGTGAGTGTGCATACCAAGCTTTGTGTGGGAGCATTGGCATAAGAGTGGGACATCTTAAGAAAGCAGGTGCTAATTTCCAAGAATGAAACCATGGAAAAGATAACTGTTTGCATCTTCTCCAACAAAGAAGTAAAAAGGAGGAGGTCAATAATAAAACAGTGACAGGAAAGGGGGAAGATAACCACCCACCCTTCTCAAGAGACACCCTGCCCATACAAGTCTCCAAGTTGAAGAGTGTCTTGCTAAGGCTCTGAAGTAGTGGGGTTCCCACTTCAGGATGAAAAGCAGACCTTCCAAGATCAGCAGGAGCACAAAGAGTCAGCAACAGGCATCTGCTGCTATTAACGACTAATGTTCACATGTTGCAACAGAAGCAAGTACAACCAGTTACAGTATTTGCTTTCAAAAAAATGGGAAGAACTGCAAATCAACAGGAGGACCAAAAGGAGAACAGTGCACTTAACACAAGGAAGAAAGACAGGAGAATAAAGAAAAAAAAGCAGACTAAAGGCACACCCAATTATCACCTATATACCATACATCCACAAAATGCCAAATAAGCCTTGTTACTCTTTCCGGCACCACAAGACTCCCTGTTTTCACCTATACACCATACATACATCATCCCTTTGCACAGCAGCGGCAAGGAAGCAACGAGCCAGTCTCCTTTAGATGGGCTTTCAAAGTAAGAAGCAGTTGCATTCCGGCATCCTCAGAAAGGGCTACTGCCCTTTAAGAAGCAGCAGCAGCAGCAGCCAACTCTCAAGTGTGCCTTAGAGGTTACTTTTCTAAAATTCACACCACAGTCACAAGCCCAGAAATCTCCAGAGAAGGCACTCTCAAAAATAAAATACATCCTTTAAAACCAAGATAAAATCCATGTGTAACGGAGGGTGGAGGGGAGGGAATTAATGGGATTCAACCTAATTTCTTTGGCTGGGGGTGGCACCTTGGTAAAAGGGGGGGGAGTCCCCACTCTCGTGTTGAGGAAAGGAGAACCAAAGAGGGGGAGGAGGGGGAGGTTTAAGACACAGACGGTTTATTTCCACGAAGAGGAGCGTGGAGGAGATAAAAGGGCTGCCCGCTCAACGCCCTGTAAAAGGGAAAGGTGATAACACCACTCTGAGAGGAAAGGATGGGTCCTTTTGGGGGGAAAATGGGGGGCAAGGCAGCCTTGTTCAGCAGTGGGTCGCTGGGGTTCCCCCCGACCCACCGCCTTAAAGGGGCACGTACCTCTTCCTGAGGTGGGGGGGCTGCCTCTTCGCTTGCGGGCCCCCCCCTGGTCCTGGACTCTCCCTGCTTACTCGCCCACCTACCTCCTCCTCCTCCGCCCGC